GGGCACTTGACCACCGAGCCACATCCTCAGCCCTATTTTGTATTTTATTTAGAGACAGGGTCTCACCGAGTTGCTTAGCACCTCACTTTTGCTGAGGCTGGCTTTGAACTCGAGATCCTCCTGCCTCAGCCTCCTTACCTGCTGGGATTACAGGCGTACACCAAAACACCTGGCTCTAGTGGGTTACTTTTAATTTACATACTAGATACAATTCAATTGTAAATGATAACTGTAAAGTAAATTTATATAAAAAAATAGAAACAGTTTTTTCTATTTATATTAAATACTAAAAACACCAATATGTGTTCCCAAAGCATGCCTCCTCATCAGATGAATTATCAAGTTTTTCCATAATTGAGCTGAGTTATTACAGTCAGGACTGTAATAACAGGGTGTGTACTACAAAGTCTTTTGGATTTCTTAGCTCTCTTTGAGTTTTGGTTCATCTCATTATTGTTTCCTACCATTCATCTCACAATTGGAATTGTTCCATGTCTTGAGAATCTCCAGGCAATCCTCTCTTAACTCCTACTAACAAAATTCTCCTCCTCCATTTATAAGAATTCCTTCAAAATGTAATAGCATTGGGCTGTATTATAATAATAATGTTATTCCCATGTGTGCATAAGCAAGACTAGACATTGCCAAGCATTTAAAAATTATAAAAGTAAATTAGTAAAATATTATACAAAAGCTTAGAAATAAATCTGTACTGTTGAAAATTATTTATATGTTATTATCCTTTGGCTCTCATTTTGTACGTATGTTTAAAACATACTTAAATATGTTTTAAAATTATTACCAAAGCCTTGCATTTGATTTTAGATAAAATACCTTGACTTATTGATTTTAAGAACAAAAATAATATTTAAACCATTTGTTTCCTCTGTTTTTCCTATCTCTTTTATCTATTATTGTGTAATTCCTTCTGAAATGAATCAGTTTCCTAAACATACTACGACATTCAAGGTTAGATTCTGAGGCAGAGAAGGAAGCTGAATGTGTTGTCCAAGATACAGAACCAAAAAAGTACATCTAGGGGCTGGGGTTGTAGCTCAGCAGGGGAGTGCTTGCCTAGAACATGCGAGGTGCTGGGTTTGATTCTCAGCACCACATAAATATAAATAAATAAAATAAAAGTATTGTGTCCAACTATAACTAAAAAAAAAAATATTAAAAAAGTACATCTAGGACCACATCTCAGATCAATTATGTACTCTTTCAGTACTGGGGTTTTTCACTCTTCTTTTAGCTATAATGAGTTTGTTTCTTCAGAATATTTAGAAATGTTTATGTAAATGTTACAAAATAAGTACATGATGAAAGGTGATAGTGGGTCTTCGTTGGAAGGTCTTGATTTTATGATACTCAAATTGTTCTGACTCTCAAGCATTCAAGTTTATTAAACTCAAATTTATTAAAAAGTAATGATGATAACAGGATTGTGGGCTGTGCATGTATTGTCATCTGTCCAACTCACATAACCAGAGACCCATATCTTGCCTAGAATCTTAGCCCTGTTCCAACTTGTTATGTGACATCAGACAAGTCACTTTCCTCCCAGAAAATTCTTACTGTTTACTAGGCATGGTGACAGGTTCTGAGGCTATGAAGAAGAATTAGATATGCTCCTCTGCCTTGTAATTCACAGTCAGGAAGGAAAATCTGACATTTAAAAGCACAATTAGAACATGTTGTAATGATGAACACAGTGGAGGTGAGTGGGAGGTAAGGTTGCAGTTTGCTGAGCTGCTGATCCCTTTAGTGAGAAATGAGAGTATTATAACACATTTGCTGCCAGTCTAACTGTGGGATTTCACTAAAGACCAATACTTAAAATGATATGTTTACACAAAAAGCATCTCCTGAAAAAAAATAGGTGGCACCAAGAACCAAGAGTCTCAAGCTGGGTTTTCATTTTATTTAAGAATCCTACTTCAAGATTTTCTGAGATGATTGCACACATAAGAAACACACAGACATGTAATGCTGATGCTGATTTCAGTGCTGTTTATGAGAGGAAACATGGGAACATTTTAAATATCTATCAGTAGGGGAAAAATTTGACAAAGTATGTAAAACCATACAATGAATACTATGTAGCCATTTAAATTAATGCTGAATATCTGTTCTATATTTTTAGCAATTAAAATGTAAAAGTCTCCTCATTTTCATTGAAATTTCAGGTCACAGAAGACCACATGATTCTATTTTAGTAAAATAGAATTTTAATATGTACATATGTTCATATGTATATATGTTTATGCATATCTTATTGCCTGTGTGCATATACTACATGTGTGAATACTTATATATGTGTGAGCATATATATATATATATATGTATATATATATATATATATATACATATATATATGCATATATATATATATATGCACACACATACATGCGGAGAGAAAGCTAAAAAGAAAGATCACAAAACATCGATAATAATTAGCTCTGGAAGATTTTTTTTTTCTTTTTAGTGTGACATATTTTCTTCCCTGATTTATTCAAAAATTTAAACACATATGAAAGCAATGAAATTATGATTATATATTTTAACATTTATTTTTTTAATTATTTATTTATTGTAATTTGTTATACATGATGGCAGAATGCAATTACTTTCATAATGCACATATAGAGCACAATTTCTCAAGTCACTGATTGAACACAAAGTATTTTCACACCATTCATGTCTTCATACATGTACTTAAGGTAATGATGTCTAACTCATTCCACCATCATTCCTACCCCTTTGACACTTTCTTTCCCCTTCCTCCCCTTTGCCCTGTCTAAAGTTCCTCCATTCCTCCGATGCTCCTCCTACACCATCACCATTATGAATCAGCATACTCACATCAAAGAAAACATTTGGCTTTTGTTTTTTTAGGATTGGCCTGATTCACTTGGAATTCTCCAACTTTGTCCATTTACCTGCAAATGCCATGATTTTATTCTCTTTTAATGCTGAGTAATGTTCCACACATCAGACAGAGCACTAGTCTCTAGGGTATATAAAGAACTCAAAAACCTTAACAACAAAAAATCAAACCCAATCAATAAAGGGGCCAAGAAACTGAACAGACACTTCTCAGAAGAGGATATACAATCAATCAACAAATATATGAGAAAATGTTCAACATCTCTAGCAATTAGAGAAATGCAAATCAAACTAAGATTTCATCTCACTCCAGTCAGAATGGCAGCTATTAAGAATACAAACAACAACAAGTGTTGGTGAGGAGTGGGGGAAAAGGCACACTCATACATTGCTGGTGGGACTGAAAATTAGTGCAGCCAATTTGGAAAGCAGTATGGAGATTCCTTGGAAAATTTGTAATGGAACCCCCATTCCACCCAGTTTTCCCACTCCTCGGTTTGTACCCAAAGGACTTAGAAGAGCATACTACAGGGACATAGCCATATCAATGTTTATAGCAGAACAATTCACAATAGTGAAATTGTGGAACCAACCTAGATGCCCTTCAGTATATGAATGTATAAGGAAACTTTGGTATATTTTAACATATATAAACCCTTATAAAATATATCAAATTGGATAAATAACTAGATTTTACCTATAATAGTAGTTTCTAGTCAACACACATCTCATGATTATTGTATGCAGGTATTATTTCAGATATGAAGGATAGATAATGAACAATGCAAAGAAAAAAATACCAGGATGATATTTACAGTGGAACCTTAGAGCATCTCATCATTTGTTTATAAACTGTTGAAAAAATACTAAATTTTAAAACCACAGAAATTAAAACCTCTCTGTTAATATTTGGTTTGTTCTTATACAACCAAAATTTTTAGTTTGATTTTCTACATTGAAATAATTCAGACCTTCCAAAATAGTAAAACTTTTATAAAGTAGAGATTTCAATAAACTTTTATTAGGCATAATGAAAAAAGTGTTTGAATGTTTCCTTCCTTCTTCCCTCTCTCCCTCTCTTCTATCCTCCTTCATTGTTTCTATATTTCTTTTCTCCTTTGTTCAATCTGCTCATCATAAAGAGGAGCAAATGTGAGGTTAAAACCTTCATGAATAAACATTCTAGAAGTTATCTTTGTAAAGCCTTTCCAGGGTTTGGGACATTATAGATATTCATGGGTAACTGAACTCAACTTCCCAACTGAAAGTGTATAACGTTAAATAAATTACATTAAATAAATCCAGTCCAATTTCTGCATCCAAATCATAATTCATATTTGACTTCAGTCTACTTTTCGTACTGGATGTTTGTTTATATTTGTAATTATTCAATTAATGTTCAAGACTATATCTGAACATGATATAGTCTTTCCAAATGATTGATAGAGATCTGTTCAGTCTGTGCCTCTTAAGTTATCAAGAAACTGCTTGGTAGAGAGATATATCTACATCTACATATATATAAATATATTTGAAAAAATATATATATGCACATACACATATATATAATGTTTTTTAGAAAATGGCAGATTTTATTACATTTTGGAAAATAAGATATATTTCTTTAAGAAAACTCTAGAAAACTTACTAGAGAATTTTTTTTACACATACAACAATATTAAAATATTCTTTCCTGAAATCAATTATTGCTTAAATACATTTACATATTACATGTACTAATATGATAGTAAGACTCCTTTTTCTTTCTTGCACTTGCTAATCAAGTTATTCAAGCAATGCCTTTGTGGTTTCCACTTAATTAATTTATAGGAAAGAATTTGGTTGATTTGAAACACAAGCATAGTTAGACAGAATATAAAAATTTTACAAGAAATGTAGGTAATGCAACATGTTTTCCTTTTATATTATATTTTTGGAATTTACTCTGTTTAAAGTTACTACCTATAAAAATAGCAAATGGTACACACCAGCTGTTTGATATAACTAGGCTTTGGTATATAGCTTTGAGTGGAATTCATTTATGAAGACCTGCCACAAAACCATAGCTAAAATTCTTTTAATGGTATATATGTCAAACTTTTTCTTTTTTTAAGATACGAGGAGGAAAGCTAATGATTACTTACACCCGTAAAAGTGATGCTGGCAAATACGTTTGTGTTGGGACCAATATGGTCGGGGAACGTGAGAGTGAAGTAGCAGAGCTCACTGTTTTAGGTAAGTGCCATTGTATCTAATCTTCTTACTGCTGTACAGCCTTCTTCTTATTATCATCATTATTTTTGTCATTATTATATTTTTGTACAAGGGAGAATGAAATAATATTTAATCAAAATACAAATGATCTTTATATAAGAGAGAAATATTCTTATATCATTGTTTTGGGGGTAGAAAGAGAAGTGAAGTGACCTGATATAAAATAGCCAAAGATGTGGAAAAAGAAGTAGAAGGAAATATTAAAGATGGGGAGAAGTCTCTAGAAGTTGGAAACTATGCGAAGTAATTTTCTAAACAATATTTTGAATTATAAATCTTTTCTCACTGAACATCTAAAGTGTTTTATCTTGAGATGGCTCTTTCTAATTTTAGAGAGACCATCCTTTGTGAAGAGACCTAGTAACTTGGCAGTGACTGTGGATGACAGTGCAGAATTTAAGTGTGAGGCCCGAGGAGACCCTGTGCCTACAGTCCGGTGGAGGAAAGATGATGGAGAGTTGCCCAAATCCAGGTACAGATCAGAATTTAATGATGTGATTCATCGACTTAGAATTTCTGTTTCTCATCAGACTCTAGGTGCCGTTAGATGGTCAACTCTATAGATGGTCTTTGACTGCTAAGGTTTGATTTAAAATGTTCTACTTTAAGACAGTATGAAAGCTATATTCACTCTGTAGATACCATACTTCAAATCTGGATCTTTCCCAGGCTTGTGATATGTGGTTTGATACTTTATGCTAGCTGCAGTGGTGAGCCATAGCTTTCGGTTGGCTTTGTGACCAGGAAGGGAAAGAACCAATACTTTTGTGTACTGTGTTGCCAAGTGGGGGTCTTCAGTGGGCTAGGTGAATAAAATGCAGTTTTGTATTCTTGGTATTTCAATTTATGATAGGTTTACAAAGACACATCCCCGTCAAAGATTGAGGAGCATCTGTAGACTCCTTGATCAGGGGCCAGTATAGAATACTAGAGATACTTTGAACCAGGAGGTTTCCATATTTTCTCTGGGGTTGGATTATATTTTTGTGACCCAGGTTTGCACAAGGAATCCTGGTAAAACATGGTATTCTATAAACAGTTTCTTTCCTGCTCAGCCAAATCACATTTAATACCAACTTCTTGTATATGACCAGGTAGGAAAAGGAAGAAACATACAGCATTAATGACAGAATTATGAACCAATTAAAAATCAGACTTTCCTTTCCTCAGCTATGTGTCACCAAGGAATGGTAGAAGAGGTCTGAGTTTCTTAGTATCTGATAAGGCCTTAAATTGGCTAAGAGCAGCGATTCAGGAAATACCAAGCTTTGGGGAATGAGACAGTGGAATAAAGCATTTGGGTTTGCCAGCTGGCTGTCAGCATGCATGCATTGAATACCTGCTAGGTGTTGGGGTTACAACATTGGTATAGAGAGGGCATCTGCTCTCCAGGAGCTTGCAAAAAGACACATATATGGGTAGATACGGAATAACATCATTATTCCCTTTTGTGACATAAAGGCAGACCTATGCAACTGTAGGGAGAAAGAATAAGGAGAATTCCCATGGAATAGGACAGATAAGCACAGTCTTCAAAAATATGTACCAATATGATAAGCAAGAAAAAAAAAAAGAGTCCTGTGTTCCAGACAGAAGATCCTTACAACATAGACACGAATGTGAGAAAGAACACCACATATTTTGAATGGTAGAAAGTTGAGCATCACTAGCACATAATATATGTGGTGAGAAGTAATGGATATCATATTGGAAATACTGGGGACATATTATCAGGGGCTTTGTGTAATAATAAATCTCACATTGTATTGTATGACATTGATGAGTCAAGAAATATTATTATGAGCAGAATTACTTTTTAGAATAACATAATTTTGTTAGCATGATGTATGTTTCATTACTATGAGGAGAGGCCTTTTATAGGGACACCATTATTTGGTTGTACAAATCAGAGTTGTATAGTGTTTAGCCTGGAGAGATGGAGATAATGTACAGAGTGGAGAGAAATTTCTGAGACTACAGTGGCAAACTGGATGACTAGTTAGATATAGAGAGTTGATGAAGGAAGATAGGCAGATTGGGGTAGAAGGAGGAGGAGGATTATGTTAAGAGAAGAAAGGAATTATTGAACATATTAAATATTAGGGTCCCTTGAAATGTGATGTCTAATTGTTAGTAAGTTGGGAATACGAATGGGGGATTTACTTGGAGTGTGGGAAGTATCTGGTCTATCAATATATAAACTGTATCAGACAATATAACTCAGGAAAATTTTATATAGAGAAAATTTTATATCAAGAAACCCTCTTTTTAAGGGCAGGGAAGTCTAGACAAATCAAGTGAACTCTAGAAGACTATCTGGGTTCAAATTTTAGCTCTACCCTGAAATTCCCTGAGGACGAAGGCCAAGTAACCTTACTTTCCTGTTTCTCAGTTTCCTCACCTACAAAATGAAGATAAGGTTAATACTTATCTTATAAAATTATTATAAGAATTTAAGAAGGTAAAATCTATAGATCATTTAAAGTCCAGCACATGATAAAAATTTAATTAATTTTCAGTGTCATTTAATTTTAGTGTGAGTACCACAGCTTGAGGAAATAGATGTATAAATGTTAACTTTACTCAAATTTTCTTTTAAGAAATTATTTTAATGTTACCTCATATACATGTGAAAACAAGCTCATTTCTTCTGCTGCTAACTTAGAGGAACATCACAGCCTCTACTTTGTTTTGAATTTCTGAAGGGATTGTTGCATGTGATTTGATGCCTGGATACATCATAGTGTAAAAATGGGATCTTTCAAGAACAAAATCCTTAACCATGCTGTTTTTGCTGCGATATTAGATATGAAATCCGAGATGATCATACCTTGAAAATTCGGAAGGTGATGGCTGGTGACATGGGATCATATACTTGTGTTGCAGAAAATATGGTTGGAAAAGCTGAAGCATCAGCCACTCTGACTGTTCAAGGTAGGCACCAGGGAGCTCGTCATTGTGGTTGTTTTATCATGTGAAATATGATGTTGATTTTGAAGAGAATTTTATGTCAAACATATTTAAGAAAGCATTGCTTTACCTATGGGCACTATTATATATTATGTAAGTGTTTATTAAAGAAGAATGAATTACATTTTCGAAATTATGAAGAGTTCTATCTTGGGTCAGAGAAGATGGTGTTTTATTCTCTGGGTCCTTAAACATAGTATATTTCTAATCTTTAATTACATGACAGCTATTGCTGTGAAAACATTGTCTTTGGAGGAAAACACATCTTCATTACTTCAGATGATGTGCTTTCAAGGGTCTGTGCAATCTATAGCATAAACATGGATGGATCTATTGCCCTTTAGAATGTAAGATCCATCTGTACAATAGGGACTTTGCCATCTTTATTCTGAGCACATAGTTCCTGTGATCTAACAGACATTCAATATTTGTTGGATGAATGATTTGCATTTGTACTTTGCTAATTTTTATAAAGATTTATTATTTTTGCTGTTTTTTGTACATGCATATTTATTGTGCATTATAATTATACATAACAGTGGAATTCGTTGTTACATATTCCTATATTCCTATGTGCACACAACATAACAATATAATTTGGTCAATTTCACTCCTTATTATTTGGTGGATAGGGATTTAAAGGCTTCAAGTTTTTTTGTTGTTGTTGTTTGTTTGTTTGTTTTTTAATGGTATTTTGGTTACTTGGTTTATTTTGATGTTTTGGTACCAGAGATTGAACCCAGGAGCGCTTCACCACTGAGCTACATCCCCAGATTTTTTTTAAAAAATTTTGAGACAGGTTTTCCCTAAGTTGCGTAAGGCCTTTCTAAATTGCTGAGGGTGGCTTTGAATTTGCAACCCTCTCACTTCAGCCTCCGGAGCCACTGAGATGTTTTATAGACATGTGCCACTGCGCCCAGCAGACTTCAAGTTTTTGAAAGTCAGAGACGTTACTGTCACCTCTGTGGTATCCACAACACAGGCATTTCCTCATCATTACTTTCTTCCTTTCTCTCTGACATCAAAATTATTATTTCCCACAATTTTTCCCCCTTTCTGGTGATGACTTGTTTATTGTGCAATTTGAGAGGCAATGACCTTTAAAACATTTTATTGGTGGAAAAAATTCCCTATTTTGACAAGTGACTGTAGTAAACAAGGGTTTTGGCCATAAACCACTTAGCTTGTTTCTGGGTCTAACATTAGCAATGCCTGGTGCTGTCATCTTTCTCAACACTGTCTCTTCCGAGGCTATTAAGAAGAAAAAGGTGGCTTTTGAGGGAGTGCTTATACTGCGGGCTTTCTACAAAAGAGCCTTGTGGGCTTTTTACACTAGAAGAAAGAATAAAGAATATTTCCTTCCTGTCTCTAAAGCCATTATGTCCCACTTTGGGGTTTTTAGCTCAACCTCATAAAAACAAAAGAAAAAAAAAAAGATCAAGAACAAACATTGAATTTCTAAGGCCTAGACTATTTCTCTTTAATCTAAGTTAGACTTGAACTCTACGTGAGGCTAAAACTGTAAGAAAAGAAAACCCCTTTCCATTTAGAGAAAGCATAAATTTAAGAGATGTCAAATCCAAGTTCAAAAGCCCTTCAGAGGGAGTAAAAGTAGCCAGGATGAATATAGGACATGAAAAGGTGTGTCTGTCTCTAGGCAATTGTGACAGGGAGCTTGATTGTCTATCAGATCAGTCAATGAAATATGTTTCACTTTATGTTTTAAAGTTTTCATACCTTGGTATCCTGATGTTTTATAAATAATAGCCATTCTGCTATGCATGCAGCAGACATTGAAATCAAAATAGAGTTTCCTCCTGCAATTTTAAACTCAGCTCCAAAGCTAATTCAGCCTTAAGATATCCATATGGAATGCTTGCTCCCTAAGCCTGGATTTCAGTGGAAATTGGGTACAAATGATCAAATCCAGAAACTACTTGATGAATGCAGATGCTCTCATTTCAACTGAATTTAGCTATAAACTTATGAAGGATCTGTATATAGTTTAGAATATATTATTTGATTCAATATTAAAATAGAATATGCACATTAGCATCACTGCTAAAATGTCTTTAACATGTTAGAATAATGTACACAGGATGTTAAAGAAAGTAATATGATTCCCAACTGCAAAAGATAACTAAGAAAAAACATTCAAAGGAAACCTGAGAAGTTAGGTCTTTTTTCTTCCTTTGAGAAGAATGTAGAAAATATTAGTGACTACAAAGGAAACTACATCACAAGTGAATCCCTCTGGTAGCAGGAAACAATTACAATAAGAAATTCAGTAGAGTATTTGGTTTTTATTTCTTTGTTTTATATGTGGTTCATGTTTAAAGACACACTATTGGAGTAAGTATATGTTTAAAAATAACTTTCTACCCCCTCACCCCTTATCCAGTGAGTACTTAATTCAGAGAATTGGGTTAAGGCAATAAAACTTTATGCTGAAGATAGAACTTATGGGGAAAATTATCTTAAATAAGGGTGGTTATTTGATTTTCACCCCTCCCCATTACAGAAGTAATTAATTTCAACATCTTTAAAAGATCCTTGATTTGAGAATCATTTCTCTTTCTTATTGGTTCTTTTTAGTTATACATGACAGTAGAATCCATTTTGACATAATTGCACAAGCATGGACTATATCTTGTTCTAATTTATCTTCTGTAGATGCTTGTCTGTAAAGATGCACTTAAGTATTCCTTTCTTAGGACTAGAGTTTTCCTTGGCCTTTAAACGTGGGTACTCTTCACAGTGCTTGGTATTGTACTACACATCTAGTAGGCACTTTGTCTAAAAAATTCTGCTTGAGTGGTGGAAACAGCACAGGGAATCTGGAAACTCTAGCAGTTGCTGAAAGGTCTGATCCTGGGTGCCTGCAATAAGTACCTGTGGCTCAAAATTGAGGAGCTCACCATTTGTGATCAATGCTGCCTGGAAATCTGTGTTCAAAAGAGCAAAGAAGGGGACCCAATTTATTATCTATATGTATCTCAGCATATCATGTTTTATATTTTAAATATATGAAATAAAATTTATTAAGAAAATAAAAGGAACAAGGTTCATGACACCTGTAATCCCAATGACTTTGGAGGCTGAGGCAGGCGGATTTAAGTTTCAGGACAGCCTGGGCAAATTAGGGAGACCCTGTCTCAAAATAAAAAAAATAAAAAGGAATAGGGATGTACCTCAGTGGAAGAGTACCCCTAGGTTCAATCCCTAATACCAAAGGGGCGGAGGGTGGGTGAGAAAGAGAGCACAATAAAATCTAGGACCAGACAGAATTTCCTAAATTATCTGAAGTTTCTTGTTAAGTATGCAGATTATCAGACATGGCCTCTGGAGAATCTCATTCCAAAGATCTGGGTTAGGACACAGATCTTTGTTTCGATTTTTGTTTTTAAGCAAGCAAGTTCACAAATCCCATGCATGAGGAGTTATAAGATAAACTGACAGAAAGAATGAAGGACTTTAAAACATTTCTTTGTAGTTTGGGACTTTCCAGATGTAGTAGAATTGCTATAAAGAATGGTTGCTAAGAGCATTGACATTAGCATCAGACTGGATTTAGTTGGATCCTTCTTGTACTGTTTACTACTATATGACTCAGAAGTATGTGACTGAGGCCTTGGTTTCCCCCTATGTAAAATGGGTATAGTAATACAATATCACAGCATTTTTATAGGAGTTAAATTATTTATATATTAATATTTAACATATTGTCTATTATGAGTAAATGATTTATAAATAAGGAGCACAGTACTCATATGAGTGTTTTTATTTTTGATAGTTCTATTGCTTGATTTTAATAATTATTGAGTAACAAAAATACTAATTCTGAGTTAATTCTAGATAGTTCTAGTAGCTCTTTCTAATAGTTCTTCCGCTATTGCAAATGAGAAATCTGAAATACTAACATATACATGACAATTTATTATGCAAACAATTATTAAAAACTCTTCTCAAATATAAATCATTGCATTTCCATGTTAAAAGTCAATATTGACTTTTGTAGTAAATATGCTGGATTTTGCTAGTTTTGTTAAAATAGTGGTAGACTCATTAAAGTTTTACAAAATAACTCAATGATGAAAATTATGGCTATCTGGGAATAGAGATCATTTAAAAATTACATTTTATGTGCAGTGGTATATTATTGTTGTGGGGAAACATTCAGCAGAAATCATTTGACCTCAATTGTATTTCATTATCTCTTGTTTTCCAATTTCTAAGGTTCTCAAACCCTCAATCTATCTTCCTATAAAACAGGTGCATTTTCTTATGATTCAGAGACTAGTAAGAAGATTATCCATGAGAAACTATCTTAAAAAATGGATTACTCATCTTCATAGCCATTTGGAAACTTCAATTAACCACTCCAACACATGGGAGCAATATGAGATCATACTCTCTTAGTAGCACATCAGTGTCTGGGTTACTTCTTCGCACAGAGCAACGTACTAAACTCAAATCAAATATCTGAAACAAATCAAAATATTGACTATTTAATATGAAAGATTTTTATTTTACTTTGAAAATTGGCAAATTGTAATAAAATTTGGTGATACTAGGTAGTTTCAGAGTAAAGATATATTTCCCCTGGCCTCTGAAAATATTTAGCCAATGAAAATATCCCAGCGCCTTTAACCTGCATATCAATTTTGGTATGTCTCTGAATCTCATTATCAGAATGAAACTCAAAGGTCTAGAGTAATTTGACCTATTGAAGAAGAATAACCTTCATTACACAACAAATAAGCACAGTGGAATAGTTGGGCACAGTGTTGCATGCCTGTAATCCCAGCTACTGGGGAGCTGAGGCAATAAGGATCCAAAGTTTGAGACCAACATGGGCAACTACTTAGCAAGAGACTGTTTCCAAATTTCAAAAATAAAAGGGCTGGGTATGTAGGTCAGTGGAATAGCACCCTTGGGTTCAGTACCAAACAAACAAAAAGAGA